GGGGGGGGGGGGGGGGGAGGGGGAGCGAGGGAGGAGATTGCGAGAAGAAAGATGCTTCACTCACCTGGCATACAGACGCAGCGAAATGTCCCAGGATCGTCCAGGCAGGAGCCGTCGTTCTGGCACGGATGCGACTCGCACTCGTTCACGTTCGTCTCGCATCGCGGCCCCGTGAATCCTTGCGTGCAGTTGCAGGCAAAGGAGCCGGGCGTGTTCACGCAGATACCGTCGTGCTCGCAAGGAGAGCCTGTGAAACATAAGAAAAGCGTGTGGTCAGTTAGCGTCGATCGAAGCACACGATGGAGACTCAACGCACAGTAGGGGATGATTTGTTTCAAGTCTGCAAACCGTCACAGATATGATGAAACTCATGTCTTAAAATACAAGGGTACATATAAGTATTAGTTGTTGGATACTTAGATTAGAGTTAGATTAAGTAGGCTGACGCAATGTGAGACTTAGAATATGTAATGTAAGATAGGAATAAAAAAACGTTACATATCGTCCAGCACTGACGCAGGACGAATCAGAACGAAGTACGTCTTGCCTCAGAGCAGGAGCGGTAATAAGATGATTTCGGCAGCAGTCGCTTAGAGGAGAGTAACGCGAACACACGTTTGACTGCGAGCGGCAGTTATTAGGCTTGCGTGCACGCGTGACTTTAGGAGCGGCTCAGTGCTCCGTCTATGAATTGAATGATCGGAGCGTTCGAATAAATTGTCAGAATTGTACGAATGATTAATAAATACCTGTTTGAGTAATATTAACAAAGCGGGCTTTCTAGACACCTTGTTTCGCGCAGAAATAGACTCCTGTTACAGTAATGTTTTGTTGTACCCGACTATACATGACACTAAGCTCCACGCATTTATTTATTGTTCGAACACGGAATACGGTGTCAACGGTTCGTACGCAGCAAGGTCCAAATTCAACCTTGAATCGAAATCCTTTCACTAAGCCCAGCACCACAGCTGGTACATTAACCTTGCAAATCATGCAATCACCTGAATTTCACCGAGCGTCCAAAATGCTGTCGCGCACTTCAATGGGATACGACTCCTCCGATCCCTCCGATATTTCCAAGACACGGAGCCGTTATTCGATCGCAACGATCACCAAGAATTTACTCACGAGAACGTCCAAAAAGAGAGCTCCGCGCGCTTTTATTACTCAGAGGCGCTAGTGATATGCAGCGTCGAATTTAAAAGGCGCAACCTAATTGCCACTGGCGCCGACAGATGTCGCCAACGACTAGAAATTTCTAGAGACCCTATAGTAAGAGTCTGGACAGTCTTGTCTTGTATTCTGTTGGTGTCGACAAAATATGGCGGAACCAATAAGGTGTTCGGAAATTATATTGGATGTGCAGTATTATTCTACTAGTAAGAATAGAAGAATTGATTAAAATAAGAAAACAAATTTGATTTTAAGTTTTATTTACATAAAAATTGCAATACAAAATAATATAATGTCATTTAATAGTAGAATGCATCGCCATAGTTTTACTACTGAAAAATTTATATTTTAATCGCCCTTTCTTGCAATCAATTTTTATGCGAAATCGAAATCTCATCGAAAAACCTTTCTCCGTACTATTAAAACAATTAGGTACGCAGCAGCCAGGCATTTTCTACAAAATTGTATGCAACTTGTAAATATAAAATACAGTATTAAAGGTTAGGAATTGATTTTTATAACAGCATGCATTTATAATACTTTTTTTCTATATATTTTACTTCATTACAATATTATATTATAAATTACCTGTTTTACTTGTTTGATATTTTATTATTGAATATAAGATTCACAAGATTTTTTTTCTTTGGATCACATCTATCTATATCATATCATCGCTGTTTATGTTTTACGACGCCATGTTTTATCGAACTAGAAAGACTGTCCAGACTCTTACTATAGGGTCTCTAGAAATTTCTTACGTACGAAAATTTGGCAAGATGTTGGAAACACGATGAAGCATCACGACTTGAGATCAAGTAGCGGAAAAGAGAATAGTGATTTCCTCAAAATCTGGAAAGCTGCCGGAGATACGAGAAGACATCGCGGCTCAAAATAAGGAAGAGGGTGATTCGGTTAAAATCTGGGAAGATGATACGAGAGAAGACATCGCGACTTGAAGTAGAGGGTGACTCGCTTAAAATCTGATAAGTTGTCGGGGACGAGAAAAAACGACGCAACGCGTCGCGGGAATCTCGCGTAGCCTTCGCGACATCGAACGGTTTAACGCGCTCAATAAAAGCGGCACTCTTTGACACATTCCGATCCGTACCGCTCTCCTTTATGACGACGATGACGCGTCGCTCGATATTCGTCTCGCCGGATAATTGCCGCTATATAAAATTCCGACGCGGGAAACGCGGCTCCTCGCTGCGACATTGAGAACAAATGTCGCTGATTTAACCAAACACCAAACTCTTGCAGCAGATGGTTTGTTGTTAACACGAGACAGCAAATGGCGCAATAGGAACAAATGATTTATTACTTTCAATTTGCCACTCTAAACCTTCTGTAATGGAGACATAAGGTCTGTTTTTTTTAGCTAAACTACCTAAACTCGTGCAATAAGTTGAAGTAAAACATATCTGTTTCACTTTAACTTATTGCACCAGCGTGCACCAGTTCAGACAGTTCAGTTAAAAAAAAACAGATCTACAATTAACCTAATTTAATTTAGGCCAAGTTCCACAACATTCGTTTAATTTTAACTACCAGTTAAGTCCCAATAGTGATTGGTTAATTCTGACTAACTCTCCTTATGTCAAATGCGATTGGTCAAGTCCAATGGAATAACCAGCCAGTTAAGTTAACAGAAGGTTGTGGAACTGGGCCTTAAATAGATAAGAACAAATGCGACTTGTATCTCAAGCAATATACGTTTGTTAAAATGATCAATAAGGAGAAATGATTTGCAGCGCTAATTATTCGATCTATTTCTCAGACAATCACCAAACATACTTTTGTTCTGATAGCCGAGGGATTTTTTCTCAGTGAATGTTGCGAGAACGGGGGACTGTCGTGGCTCCGCCTCGGTGAAAGTTCATCCGGTTTCGGATGCTCGGGACAGACGTCGCCGTCGTCGTGTGATATTCGCGTGTGCTGCCATTTTGAGTGAAACTTTTTCCTGTTCGGCGACGAGGTACGACTACGACGAGCGAGAAAAGAGAAGAAGGCCGTGGCGGAGACGCGCGAAAAGCGCTCCTCCTGTTCTTTCTTAGCCCGACAGCCCTTCGGTGGGCACGTCGGTGACTCTTAAATCGCGGCGGCAGCGGCGTGAACGCGACTCGCATCAATAATTAATAGCTGAATACGGCTCGGGCTGAATCTCGTTACGTGGCTTCGTGTATAGCGCGTTTCTCCGCCGCGGTTGGACCAACGAGAGAGGAACGGAGGATAGTACGCCTTAATTGGCGAACACACCGCCGACACTTTTTAGACGCCGCCATCAGGACGGGAGGGGGTAGGGGGAAGAGGAACGGACACTTCCTATACCCGGTTAACTCGACCATAAGGAGCATGCTGGTAGAGCATTCTCGAAGCAGCAACTCGACGGTTCGTTTAAAAGAGATCGCAATTTTGCCCGTGGAAGCCCTCTTTTCCCGGAGAAATACTCCCTCGCCCCTCGGCGCATTTCTTGTAATTGCCGCGAGATAATTGCTACGGGTCGTTGCGTATCCCGGTGTATCTCTCGCCAAATGAGCGGCGGAGGAGCGCTTCATTAGATGCGCACGCTCTCCTTTCCCTCTTTCCCCGTTCCTTCTCGACACGATAGAATTTCGCCGCGCGCTTCGAGTGCGTCGAAGTTATTTTACTCGTTCTGTACACGCTCTGTACACAAATATTCACTCGACGATTTAGAGGAGAATTAATTCTATGCAAGTGAAGAATCACTCGAATTCGAGTGACTCTCAGTGGTTACTCTATTTTTCGAGCGAAATCTCACTCAAACAGATTCAGAGAGAAGAATTTCTTTCGCGTTACTTCAAGCAAACCTTTAACCTCTTCGCTACGGCTGGACTTTCCGCGGAGCTGTATCTCTGTACGACAAAGTTCGACGCGGACTGCACGAAAACAATGCAGTACTGCGATTTGTGTCTGGTAATGCTTTTCATTATGCAAGCACATTAGAATAGGATAAACTCGGATAGAATGGCTATACTTTTTTAAAATGCAAAAAAATACATTTCTTATTGTTATTTCTTAATAGCGTTTGGAACGTTACTTCACTGAAGTCTACAATACATAATACCATCAAAGTTAAAAGAAAAATACTTCAGTGAAATTATTTATTACAAAAATATCAAAACATGAACATTGGCCATCTTATCTAAATGTTTAGGGCAAGATAGCCATAAGAAATAGATGACCCATACATATTTTATGTTCAAGATTCTGTATCTATTATTTTATAAAATAATGAAAAAAAAACATAATTTGACATATTCAATTTAGTATAGGATATTTAATACATATTATTTGTGAAAAATATAATATACATGTAAAATAGAAACCTCTATTACAAAACTTTAAATTTGAAATTCAACTTTTGATCAAAACATATTGCACATAAGATTTAATTACTGTAATATTGAAAGTAACTTTTGACATATAACGACTTTTGTTTTATAAATGTTAGAATAAAAGGCCATCTTACCCAAAATGTGAGTGAAAAACGGTTATAATAGTACTTATAAACAAATAGTGAAAATGAAAATAAAAATGCATATTATATTATAATTTACATACCTACTTTATATCTAACGTTGATTGCGATAATTGTAATTTATTCGACGTTACAGCAAGTTTTAGATACATGAGAAATTTTGGATACATGAGAAATTTTATAGATAATCGAAAATAAAAATGTAATGCAATATTCATAATCTTGCTATTTCCAAAAGTGTACGCACATACACTACGATAAATGTCGATTGTCTTTGTGACTTACACAAACGCAATGTTTTGCAATTATTAGAGAAATTACAGCCTATGGCCATCTTTCCGGTATGGCCATCATATTCGAGTTTATCCTACAGTTTAGATGAGTTTAAATAAATAAATTATAATTTATTAGAAATAAGATTGACGCCACTATAGTGGCGTACCATTCAAAAAGATGACATACGCAAAAGCCACTATAGTGGCGTACAGTATCTAAGAGGTTAAAGATACTACAATTAAATAATGTAATAATTGCAAAACATTGCATTTGTGTAATCAGTCACAAAGATA